TTTATATTAAATGTGAATTTTGTAAATCCAACCGTTAGATTGAAAGTTCATATCACTTTATATGTTTATATCAAATTTTGTTAAAATTGAACAACAACTTGAAAGTAATCAAAGTGTTCATATTTTAGTATATTTTGAAATGTATATATTACGTCAATTTTTTTTTACAAGAATGAAGTATCAAATCATCTTGAATTAATATAAAATTTTGCATATATGAGCTAAGAGTAAAAAACTTTCAATCTAACAGTTGAATTTATAAAATTCACATTTAATATAAAGTTATTGAGCGGTGTAATACTTAGTAAAAGTTACACTGATGTTATTGTAACCCTTCTCTTATAAAATATTATTTATATAAATTAAATTTTAACATTTTAAATAAGTTATTAATTAACTTAATATATTTATTCATCTTAAATCTAAGATATAAAATTCAAAAAATGTATTTATTCTTTTTTTTTATTTTCTAATTATCAACCATTAATAAAATACTAATTTAAAATCTTATCTAATTATATTATAATATTTTCATATCAAATTTAAAATCAGATATTAGTATGTTATTTTTTATCATCATTAATTTATAAAAATAAAAAATTTAAAATGATAATTTTTAATAATATTTATTTTTTACCAAATATTCTTTACATCACTTAGAGCATAAAATTTTTTGCCCTGCATCATGCCAAGGTTATCTACGAAAAATCCATAGATAACGTTATCTACATAAAGTTTTCCATAGATAACCTACGAAAGTTGTTATCTGCGGATTTTATCCGTAGATAACGTTATCTACGGATAGTTTTTCGTAGATAACCCACGAAAGTTGTTATCTATGAAAAGTTTTCCGTAGATAACTCACGAAAGTTGTTATCTACAGATTTTATCCGTAGATAACTAAACATTTTCTACAGAAAAAATTTTGTAGGTAATATTTCATAGATAACTAAAAATTATCTACAGAAAAAATTTCGTAGATAACTAAACATTATCTACGAAAAATATTACGTAGGTAATATTCAGTAGATAACTAAAAATTATCTACAGAAAAAATTCTATAGGTAATATTCCGTAGATAACTAAACATTATCTATGGAAAAAATTCTGTAGGTAATATTCCATTGATAACTAAACATTATCTACAGAAAAATTTTCGTAGATAATATTCTGTAGATAATAACAGTATTTCTTGTAGTGACCACAACACTATCGTTCGATGCCAATTCAAAAAAAGATGATTCTCTCTTCTCACGCTCAATGTCATTCAAACCCAGGCTTAACATGACCAAGTCAAAGACAATTCTCCCTCCTCACATCCGATACCACCAATCTTGTGCCTAGTGTAACAAGATTGAGAACCCTTGGCTTGAACTATGTCCAACGCCATGAAGGCTTGCCTAGTAACATGAGAATTTATACACTTAGTAAAACCTTATTTCGACTCAATCCACTTAAAATCTTGCCAATAACCAAAATGCAAAAAATATCTCAACATATATACAACACATAGAACTCATGTCCACCATCAAAAACAACATGCATCAATTAGAATTCAAGATCATCAAATTCTAACTAAGACACCTCCAAGGAGCCAAAATCTCAATCAACTCATCATCTCCTCTTCATTCAATCAAGATAGCCAATAATAGATGAATTCCAACAAAAAACAACCAACACTATCCATAAATGATCAAACACAAAGCTTCCTTTACCTCTAAAAGCTCATAAATCAAAAGAAGTGGAAGAAACTTGAAGTCTCCATGGTTGTCATACGACTTCTAGTATACGTACCAACTCAGATTGTTAGTTACAAAAGCTTTGAATTGAGAATCTTAAAGTGAGAAATTGAGAATCTTAGTTTTCTATATTTGATACCTATTTTAAAAAAAAAAATTCTCAGGAATGTAATTTTCCAGAAACTAATTTTATCTCATTTTTCCACAAAAAAATATTTCTGAATTAGAGGAAAGTTTAATACATATAAAAAGATCACAATATCATTTTTTAAAATAGAGAATCTTTCTTTCTCTCTCTATCTTTCTCACTCTCACTCCCCCTTTCTTCCTCTCTCCCCTTCTATTTCTCTTTCTCCCTCTCTCTAACTTTCACTCTCTCTCTCTCTCTTCCTCTCTCCCTTTCCATCTCTCTCTCTCTCTCTCTCTTTCTTTCTCCCTTTTTCCTTATTCTATTTCTCTTTCTCCCTCTCTCTCCCTATCTTTCTCACTCTCACTCCCCCCCTCTCCCTCTCCCTCTTCCTCTCATATATTTATTTCTCTCTCTCTCTCTTGTATTTCATTATTTCTCGACCTTGTTAATTTTAATAATATTATTATATTTTATTTTATTTCTATAGTTTAATAGTGTTTGTTAAAACTTTTTAATTAATTAATTAATTTGAATGAAATGAAATATATATTTTTATCCTTCTTAATTATAATGTAACATTTTTCTTTATTTATTTTTTTGTTAAATTTTTTATTTAAATAATTTTAACTATAAGTTTTTAACTTTTAAAAAATAGTTTAATGTCATATTTGTAATATTTGAGTAAATAAATCTATTTTAATAAATGATATTTTGGTAAAAAAATATTTATATTCTCAAGAATCTTTATGAATAATTAAACATATAGCTATTGTCACAAATCATGATTTCCAGGATTTGTAATTCCCATGAATCATGATTCTTAGGTATTTATGAGAGTAGTATGTGGAATATATATAG